TATCTTCTCATTAGTAGTGTGATGTATGTATATCTGATAAATTTGTATTTATAATGACAGGAGATTTGCACATACCTGAACTTTCCAAAGTCAAGTATATGATTAGACTGCTTAGGTATTAGATCAGGCTTGTCCAACCTGCAGCCCGTGGGCCTCATGCGGCCCACTACAATTTTTTATTTTTAAAGAAATTCCAAAGTTTCAAGTTACACTGCCGGTGCTTACGGCCGGAATGCAGCCGGGGCATGTTACAATGGTGGGGGAGGGGAGAGAGGGAAGGAAGGAAGGAGAGGGAGGGGAGAGGGGATGTGTGAATGCATTGCGCTGTCCCCGTCAATAGGTGGACCCCCTCCCGTAACCATAAAGCCACCGGAGTCGAAGCTGGCAGCCTCTGTTGTCTGAGATCGTAGCTACCAGTAAGCGCGCTTGGAGCGGGGCTGCAGAGGATGGCTAGGGCTGCCCCCCCCCGCGGCCCAAACCAAATTTATGTGTGGCCCAAACCAAATTTTCATCTTCTAATGTGGCCCAGGGAAGGTGAAAGGTTGGACACCCTGTATTAGATGATAGATGGTTGGGTAGACTGTTCCTGTTCAAATATTTCTTCCCAGTAAAAGCTGAAACTCTGTGGTACATTCATATCTAAAATTTAAAGTGGGTTCTCTAATATGGTACAGTACATGCTAAAGTATTGGTTCTTGAACTAGAGGTGAAAGGGGCATAAAGAATTCTTGGCAGTAGGCTTGAAACTAATATGTAGCAGTATTAGTCACATTAAATTTGTTTTGTTTCTGCTAATTTTTTCCTAAAGTAAGCAACTTTGTTAATATTTTCGTTACACTATTTGTGCTTATTTTAAATTTTTAGCCTAATATTTGTGTTTATATTAAATTTTAAATTATGAGTTGAAGCTTCTTTAAAGTGAGTTAGATGATGGTAAAGGAGAGGTAGGAAAGCATGAAAATTTATCAGAAATCAAAGAGTGGGATTTTATGTCAGAAAGTTTAGGAATTGCTGCTTTAAAAATGCTGTATCGGCTTCAGCTGTGTGTAAGTATACTGTCAAACAGTTGAATGTGAGAAGCCTCCAGACAAGTATTTTTACCTGATTGCCCCTTATTTAATCAATGAGCTGTGGAAAGAAAAAAATGTTCCATGTCAGCAACTTCCACTGTTTAGTGTTCAGAATGCCCTGTGGCACACAGGTATCTCTGTGTAGATAGAGCAGTAGAGGTGAAAAGCCCTTTGCACCACACTAGGTACAAAAAATGCTAGCAAAACTTACCGTGTTTGAGCTCAGTTACAAACTTTGGGACATTGTAATGCTCACTAGTTTTAATTTGAAAGCATTAATAATTTTTTTCAATAAAATTTTGCTTTATGGTCTTCCCACTGAGAGGATGAAAGAATTGTTCTGCTGAGCTTTTTGAAAAAGTTAAAATCACACCAAAATATCTGTTACAATTTCAGGGTGAGGGAATCAAATGTTACATAGTAATTGAATACTTTGTGTTTGTAGTTCCAAAATCATACTTTACAGCTTGTGGCTAAATCTGTCTGCCTGTACTGGGTCTTCACAATAACCTGCCAGAACATTCTGAAAACCACAGATGATACATATTGGAAGGTGACTTAGGTGACGTGGCTCTGTTCCGGTTAAGATTTTGACAAGAGTAGTTAGTACCTTGGGTTTCATTTGGATGTGTGAATGGCTAGCTAATCTATTAGCATGTGTTGGCTTGCACTGCTAGGAGGTTGAAGACTTCTCTATTCTATGTAAATAGTGTACTGTATTTATTTCTTGTTCAACTGATCCAAGGCAATTTTATGTTAACTTTGTTGGAGACATTTTTTTTTCAGCTACAAGATAATGGGCTGAAAATGCTGTTTCATTAAGGCTCCAATATTGAACTGTTACATGAATGTTGATGGACAATCCACTTGTTCTGTTAAAATGAAGTTACTGTATCAAACATTTAAAGTTTCATTGTAGAATAGAGATCTGAAGGCTGTGGAGGGTGGAATATGGGGAAGTATCATCCAGACTTCTAAGAACTTTTTAAAAAATCTAATTCGAAAACCGGAGAGTACTAACTAATACTCATAAAATATTATACAGTATTGGAAAGAGTAAAATGCTCTTTTACTCGAGATGAGTAGTATGTATATTTTACATAAGGCAATCTAAAGAATGGGAAAAGTGATTCATGTGTATACTGTAGATTACAGAGACAGAATAGATTATTGGACAAGATTTTTTTTGGCTAGCACCTCCCATTACTGTTACATAACCACCAATGAAGGATGATGAGATTTGTAGTCCAGCTTAAATAAGTCCCATTGATTCAGTGAGCCACCTATAGTTGGGGCTAAATTGGATTTGGTATATGTATTTTAGATTGTAAATGTGGTGAAATATATTAAGGATTCATAATGAAATATTACATATGTTTCTCCCCTGCCCCATAAATGTTTGAGTTTTGTTTATTAATTAATTTATTTTTTCATTCATTTAAAATATTTTTAACCCGCCTTTCTTCTTAAAAAGGACCCAAGTCTGCTTACATAATAAAAAAGACATTATTTAAAAGCTAAAAACAATAAGTATACAAATATTTAAAAAGAAGTAAAGTATTATAGTAAAAATGGTAAATACAGTGGTGCCTTGACTTAAAAACTTAATCCGTTCCAAAATATGGTCATAACTCGAAATGGTCGTAAGTCGAAGCGCCATTTCCCATAGGAATGCATTGAAACACAATTAATCCATTCCAGCCGGGGGGGGGGGAATCACTGACTGGCCCCCCAAACACTGCAAGACCCATTGGAAATGTGATTAATCCTTTACGGCCAAAGGGGAAAAAAAACCAAAAAGCAAACAAACTGTTGCAAGACCCATCGGAAATGCAACCCCCTCCCCAAACACACCCACTCAAAAAGCAAAACAAACGCTGCAAGACCCATCGGAAATGCAAAAAAACAACACAAAAGCAAACAAACCCTGGAAGACCCATCAGAAATGCAAAAAAAGAAAACCAATAATCAGACAAACCCTGCAGGACCCATTGGAAATGCAAATATAAAACCCCAAAAGCAAACAAACCCTGTAAGATCCATCTGAAAAGCAACCCCCCCAAATAACAAAGACTGCAAGACCCATCACAGCACAGAAACATAACACCCTCCAACCCAAAACCACGCTGCAAAACCCACCCAGAATAGGCAGTTTTTAAAAAAGCAGAAAGCAGCACCTTACCATGCAGTCCGAAGCCTCCTCCGAACGCACACACTCTTAACTGCTGGGGCGCAAGAGCTACAAGGAAGCAGCCTCTTTGCCAGCAGTGGTTAGTAGTTTGAATTGCCCGCCTTTTTCCCTGCCTTTTTAAAGCTCTGGTCACAAGTCGAAGCAAAATTTTGTGGCCGGAGCTGGTCGTAACTCAAATTGGTCATGAATCGGGACATTCGTAAGTCAAGGCACCACTGTAAAATCAATTCTAAAATACATTTAAAACAACAGCACAATAATTCATTTAAAAACCACTTTCATACCATCAGTCATAAAGTGTCTGCCTGAAGAAAAAAGTCTTTGCCTGCTTGCGAAAGGACAACAAGGATGGGACCAGCCTTTTTGAAAAGACTTTTCCTATGTTGCACCAGACTTTCCAGAAATGTTACATCTTTGATCTGTATAGCTTTTGAATTTAGTAGGTGATCTACCTGAAGAGTTCTTTTTTTCTTAGATTATTATACCGAACACTCTTTGTTTCTTTGGAAAACTGGTGTCATGTAGTAACGAGCAGTGACCGCATAGTGAGCAGCCACCAACTAGACACAAATGGAAGATTTACAAGGGTGCAAAGAAAATTTCTAGAGATTTTGTGGCAGATGGCATTTCACCATGTGTCCGGCTCTTAAACCCTTGTTTAATAGAAATTGAGTCATCTTGTTTCAACAGGTTCTGTTTTGAAGTTGTGTTATGCAGTCTGTGCAGAACTCCTAAGATATACTGGCTGAAATCCTGTTGTCAGAAGTTATAGTGCAGGACAGCAGGAGGTCTTTAATTTCTGAAAATCACCACTGTACTTTGGGAAATTAATCCCAAGTGAGCCTCAGGACCTTTAGGGAAGGGGGGGAGGGAACCAGAAACTTTCAGTTCTGAAAACGTTCTGTGGCTGACAGCATCCCCAGCCTTGGAGGATGTAAGCTGTGCAACAGGATTTCACCCGTCATAGTTCTTCAGCTTAAAGCAGGGTGCAGAATATTTAGCTTTTTTGGACAATCAAAAACTACTACTAGTTTGTCTTAGTGTAGGACTAAGACTCAGGAGGTTTAGGTTTGAATCTTTGTGAAGCCATGGAAACTTATTGGGGGAATGGAACTGGTAAAACCACTCCTTAAATATCTCACCTTGAGAGCCATATTAGGATCGCTATTAGTCAGTAGCATCTTGATGGTACATAACAAGATGTGTGTGTGTGTCTGTGTATATGTGTGTGTGCGCGCGCACGTGCGTGTGCATATATATATATATGCAGAATTTAACACTATTGGAGACAGGGCCTTGTTGTGGCAGTCATATATATTCCTGCTTTTCCCCCTCTGGAGAAAGTCAGCATTTCCCTTCTTCCTCTTTTTAGTGGTGCTTCATAATACATTTAGTACCATCAGAATTTGTATAATTGATTTTTCAGCCCCCTCTTAGACTTTTGCTGATATAGTTCATCTGTTTTGTACCATATGCAGTGTTGTTTAATTTAATTTTTGTGTTATGAGCTGCCATGGGGGGTGGGATCTTACAATGGGATGAAATTCTCTTCAGATAAATAGCACTGGGGTTACCATGTAATTTAGAAAGAGCAAAGAGGAAGTTGCTTCAGGTTGTTAGTTTCCCAGTAATAGAACTTCCCGTGGTCCCATAATTTTTCCAGTTGGTAGCCTTCTTGTTCATAATGTAAAACTGAATTAGGGCTTCTGAAATCTAACAGTGTTTTCTCCATCCCCTAGTGATGTTCTGGCACTTCCCATTTTCAAGCAAGAAGATTCTAGCCTTCCACCTGACAGTGACACAAAAAATCCACCCTTTCAATATGTTATGTGTGCTGCAACATCTCCAGCAGTCAAATTGCATGATGAAACCCTCACTTACCTAAATCAAGGTTAGAAATTTTTCTGTAAATAATCTGTTTTGTATTGTTTTGATGTTTTAATAAATACAGAATGCCATAAACAAATAACAGTATGTTCAAATTGCTTGTTTTGAAAAGGATAATTATAAAACCACTTCTTTTGTGACCTGGTATCCTAGCACATGTAGAGAAAAAGCAAGGAAATGGTTGGAACATATGCCAGGTTAGATTGATTGTGCAACATTGAATAAAAACATTTTGTTTAATAGGAAAAATGGACTTCTGTCTAGAAGTGGGAAATAAATGGGCCATGATCAGTCCTTGGTTAATTCTTGATATCAGACAGAATCGTGTTGTGTTAGTGTTTTTTTTTCTCCCTAAAGAAAGAACTAAAATTCAAATTCCAGCCATACATATGTAACAATTTTAGTCAAGGTTAATAATTGTTTCACATTGACACATCCATTCATTTAATCTGATTTAACAGGGAATATTAGGACAATGGACTGTATTTAGTAGTCTTTTAGGTGAATATAAAAATATACACCAGATTCTAATTTTTCTTCTCTGGATATTGGACCAGAGACCAAAGCCGAACAAGAATAAAAAAAAATTAAGAATAGTCAGTGGAACCTGATAAATCAGTGCAAAAGTTTCATTGATTCCATGGGTGTGTTCCAGTTGGGGCTAATAATTAGATTCTGTCCAAGTTGTTAGCTGTATTGTACAAGTAGGGAAGGCAGCCATGAAGGGTTCAGGGCACTTTCACATTGACTTCATACTTCAGAGGGCTGCATCTATACATTT